AGGAACATAGAAACGTTATAATCCTGGGGGAAAGTAAATCATCCCCAAGGTGCTTAACGGTGTCCTCATTTTCGCGGAGCTTAAGCGTTCCACCAGGGAAATTGCATTTTCGAGATCGGAACTGTCAGCGCCTGTCGGTGCGCAATACCTTCTCGCAGAAAAAACGATAGGACAATTTAGAGCAATGCCAATCGTGACGTGTCTCCTAAAAATTCAATTCATTCCTGTCCCCTCGCAATTACGCGCCACGGCCGGACAAATTTCGGTGGCCACTTAAACGCGAAAACGTACGGGGACATGGAGTAATAGATAATTCTAACAAATTACATCGCGGACATAATGCACCGTAAATTAGTGAAGAATCGCAGGCCGACTGCATTTCCGCTGGCTTGTGACCAGAGAAAGGCACTTTGAGAGCGCTCTAATTCAGTACAGAAAATAAATTGTCGGAAGGTGTTCACCCGTGTCCCCTCTTTCAAGGAGCACGCCGGCAGACGGAAAGAGAGAAAGAGATATAGAGAAAAGGAAAAGCAACGGAGGGGAATGGAACCGAGGAGCGTAGCGAGACGGAGATGCGAACAGAGAGGACGCGGAGAGAGACAGGTACTCTGGACGCAAGAACGGTGGAAAGAGATGAGACGGAAAAAAGGTGCTTCCTTTTGCACAATTTGCCCGAACGTAGAAGCAAATTTTCCCCGGTATACAAAAGCGCTCGACATTTTAAAACACGGGGGCTCGCGATTGTCGCGTGCTCGCACCATCTACCACTTGCGACCCCGTCTAACCCTTTCTGTTCTCTCTGTCTCACTCCCCGTTCCCGTGCAATGGAGCCGTGTACGCGGGGAATCGACGCGAAACGAACACGAACGAACATCGGGAACGTAGCCACGTCCCTCGAGGCTCGCGTTATTTTATGTCGCTTGTGACTCTCGAGCATCCACGCCCCCTCCCCGACGCTTGGTTCCACCAGCTGGCAGGCATCGGAACAAAACACGAGGACAGAAAACAACGGCCAGAGGGTGAAACGGTTGCGAGAAACGTTGGTCTATGAATACGTTTGGAACTTCAAACGCCTATGTGATTTGCACGTGTCTCCTAGGTGAGGCGACCCAAGAGAGTGCGCACCCTCGGACGACGTGTTCTTAGGGTACAGTCTGTTCCAATATCTCCTTAAACAATAAATAAAAATGAGCTTGAACTTGTTCCATTGTAAAATTCATTACAGTTGAACCACAGATTTTATGCATTTAAAGATTAAAATTTAAGAAAATTGAACTGATACAAATGTTTCATTTTGTGAAAAGTCTGAAGTTTATTTAAAACAAATTTTATAATGGAAACTGAAGAGCCTTTCAAATACGGTTCAATGTATTCCTTAAACATTTAATTTTCAATATACAATTTTATCTACTCTTTTAAAAAATGTAACCGTCTTATTGGGACCGACTGTAACAACAGCACGTTGTCAAGGATGAAACCTGCACTTTTCTTTCGTTCGGTCACTGCTCCGTCCCGGCCAGTGAATTATTTATGACTTAAGGGCAACGTATAGTTTTCTGCTGAGTTGAATGATTTATAGCGTCAAGAGAAATGTACGGACGTGTGATCTGTATGCAGAAATTTCGTTTCACTGTTTCATTCTAATATTGCATTAGGAATTGTCACGATAGTTCAATTTCGTTGACGCAACCAACACGGTCTGGTAGTGCCGGTAAACAAAGCGACCAATTTAATATCTGTAATAGCAATCAGAACGCGTTCGACGTGACTGACACGTAAATCGACCTGTCGAAATAGAACCGCCTTTAGTCAAACAGTTACAATTTCTATATATAATAGAATTTACACTATTCTGTCGAAACAAAAAATAATAAATCTAGCCAATCGTGATATAAAAATTTGCATTTATTTCATACAGTAATACTAAAACATAGTACAATTTCTGCTACTAAATTTTTTTTACGAAATCAATAATTCATCCTATTGACAACCCGGTTTCTCGTTAACGTCACAAACGGCTGAACTTCTCGGCAAGCAACTCAACCGGATTTTTTATAAACGAGGAACCACAAAATTCCGAGCGATCGTTGGAGATTCTTATGGCAAAAAGAGCAGACGACGCTCGTCGTCGTTCTGAAAATCGTCGAGCCACTGTGAAAGAAGTGGATACGCGGATCATGAAGGATGCTTCTGGCATCGGTGGATAGGTACTTACGTTGAATGCGCGCACGTGCGCGGCAAACTATGCGCAACGTTGATACGATGCATGAATACCATTCAGGCGACCGAAACCCTTCCAATCCACAGCCCGGGTTTCACCGGTTTCATTGAAACTTTTTACTACTTCCGATGAGCGGCGAGCGTTTTTCTTGAATTACGACAGATTTGTTTGCCGCGTTCAACGAATGCTAAAAAAGACGAGTTCTTTTCATTAGCGAAATGTCAACGCACGCTTAAGCGTTGCTTAATTTTATGGACAGTGAATGACACCGAGTATCGCTTGAACTTAATGCTTACCAAATCCTGCCAGACATTTTTCGATAAATTTCGTTAAATTAAAATAATAATTTATGGATTACTTATTTATCTGCTTACCAAATCCTGCCAGACATTTTCCGATAAATTTCGTTAAATTAAAATAATAATTTATGGATTACTTATTTATCTAGACTTCATCCAATAACAGCTTCCCTCAAAATAATTTGACAAAGGATCTCCGTTTACGTTGGTCACAATGATGAACGCGATGTTTATTGACGGGATTCTTAGCTCTATTCCCAGGAAAAAAGAAAGTCTGTTGGCTCGATTTAACCTGCCACGATGGCTTACTCGAAAGGATTTCCGTAAGAAGGTTGATGAAAGGGAAAGAGGGGAGGAAAGAGATTTAATCGAGCGGAAGCGTACTCTCAATCGTATGGCTGCCGAAGCCAACAAGAACGCTTGTAGGGCCAACCTATAATATTTCATGTACTGCAACTTAGAAAAACCCATTGTTGAAACAAGCAAAAATGTTTCGATTAAGTAAAATTCAGCTGGAACAGCAAAATTCAGATAAATTTATACTAAAACGTTGTACATTTAGAATTTACTTGGTGTTTTAATTAGAAACATATAAAA